TTGCATTTTACAACGAACATTTCCCCCAAACTTGCCCAGTGCTTTTCCTTCTGAGACCCATCTATGTGCCCATGAGCTTGGAGCCCCTCCTGGAGCCCACCGTGGACACTCCATGGTCAAAGAGCATGGTGGGGAGGATCCGCTCCAAAGGAAACATAGACCAAGCTTCCTCCAGAAGCAGGGACAATATTAGGCTGCTCATGTGCTCTGAAATAAAGACAGGCTTTGGCCATCTCCATGGTGTCACTAAACTCCTGCTCTTTGATCCTGTCTCACTCAACAGGGAAGAGTTGGTCCCTGGCTTTCTTCCTCTCTCCTCAGAAACCAGGGATGCAGTCCTCGCTTGGAGTGAGGGAGCACTTTGCGATTAGCCTAGCTCTCTGTGTGAACGGGAGTTGATCTCCCATCTGTAGATACCAGGAGTGCCGCACCTGAACGCTCTTGGGGAAAGCGCGGGTGTGTGTTCCTCTCTCACAGCCGCACCTTGCCTTCTGCTCTTCATGTCAGTCCCTGCTTTCCGCTCACCTCTCTCATTCTCTGCTGCTTCTCTCTCTCCTGGGACCTTCTTATTCATGGTTGGGTGCCACATGGCTTACTGACCTAGTTGATGTTTACAGCAAGCATTCACAGAAAAAAAGCCCAAGGTCTCACTGGAGCCCAGCCCCTGTGTAAGCCACTGCCGTTGGACACACCACAGCTCCTCTCTGGGTCTGACTTGTCCAGACTCTAAAAGGAAAATAGAAATTGGCACGTTTTAAAACATGACCCCTCTGGTAAAAACCAGCAGGTAGATACAGAACATATACAAGACAAGTGTAGCACTGTTATCAAAAACGGCCATAAGAAGATAAACCAGAGCAGGCTGCAGTAAGACCTTGAAGGAGCTCCGTGAGGGATGTAGACCAGGGGACGACTGTCATGCACATGGAGACAGTGGTGCTGTCACCCGAGGCCCTCCTACCTGCTAACCTTTTTCCCTGCCCCACCCCTTACCGCCCCAGGGCCCCGCCTCGGCTTGCTCCCTATCTCATTTTGCATTTCTCGCTTGAGTAATCTCACCTACTTCCACGGCTGAAACAGCCGCCGTCCATTATTGACAAGGCGAGGTGTTCTCCAGCCCAGACTTCCCTTCCAAGAGCTTGGCCAATTGGCTTCTCCCCTTGCATGACCCAAAGGCAGTGACACTCAAGTGACCGTCTCTCCCCAAGTCCACTGGTCTCCTGTGCGTTCTGACTCACCGGACCTGAGCCAAAGGAGCCATCTTCAGCTGCTCTGTCTCCCTCACACCTGCTCTTGCCTGATCGTCAGGTGCCATCCGGTCACATCCTTCTCTTCTCCTCTGTGCCCCTCCCAGGCGCCCTTGCCAAGTTCCAGTGCGGCCTTCCCATTGACGGCCTCCATCTTCCTCCCATATGCATCTGACTGTGCTTCTCCTGCCCACTTGCCATCGCCTTCTCATCACCCGCAAGACGGTGTCTGCTGTCCTCACGAGCATTTCATAGCTCAGTCATCCTGCCTGGGCGTCTCTCCGCTCTAGCTGCTCTCCACCGTTCCCCCAAGCACTGGCCCTGCCCAGAATGCTCTCAGCTCTGTGCTTTGTTCCCGCTGCCCCTGCTTCCTTGGTCTTCCCTGTGGACTCCAAGTTGCTGCTGCTCCAGGTAGCGGGTTGCACAAAGCTGTCCATCACTCCCTACGGCAACCCCAAGTGCTCATTCTTCCCTGCTTCTCTGGAGCGCTGAGTGTACTCAGATCCCCGTGCTGCAGCCACCGTCCTTTAGGAGTGTGTGAGCCAGCCGTGCTTTCTGGGTTGAAAGCTCCTTGCTGGCAAGAACGTGTCTTCCTCAAGCCTGGCCCCCCCAGAAGGTGCCCCGGCACTTGGCAAGGAGTTCAGCCTGGCTATAGCCAGACATCTTTCCCTTTCTCACACTCCAGGAGAGTGACTTTCAACTCAGGGACCTCCACGAGTACATCCAGCTGTGTATCTGCCAGAGGGGGCAGCCCTGAAGGGATGTGTGCCTTTCTTTGCCTTCCAGCCCCTCCCATTGGCCTGTGTCTTCCAACCACAGTTTACAGATGGGCAGAAGGGACCTGAGGTTGCCATTGGTGCTCAACACGGCACCCGGCAGGGTGCCAGGTGGGCCGTGGGAAAGGATCCGGGCTTTCGGAGCTCGTTCCTGCCCACATCTCACAGAGCCTAGCATCTGAGTCACTGGAATTCCTGGCTGAGGAAGTGACATAGTCTCAGCTCCGGGTGCTCTGGTTTGTTTCCCTCTTGAAGGAGTTTTGCTTTAGTCCCTGACAAGGGAAGGTGCCTCGCCACCAAGCAGGGGAGGAAGGTTGGCAGGCTCCATTCTTCAGAGGTGGGATTTCCCCACCCCTGTCCTTCAGTTCCAGGTGCAAGAAGCAGAGAGCCTGGGCAGGGGGGCCGGACCAGGCACTAAGACTTGCTGTCCACGCAGCAGCAACCTGTCCCTGCTTTGTGGAACAGTGGCCGGGGAGCTTAGGTCTCCCAGGAGCACGTCCAGAAGTTGCTGTTGATGAAGGCCTAACGCATGCTGGCGTGGAGTTGGGCAGAGTCTTTCCTGGAAAACCTGCTCCCGGGACCTATATTTTGATGACACAAGGGAGCCGGGCTCTTCCGTGCCTCTCTGCAGAGGGACTGTAGCTGTCAGGTCAGTCGTGCAGGAGACAGCCGCACTGACTGCCCCTCGCCCTTCTTACCTCCGGTCCCCCTGTCGTCCCTTGGATTGTAAAGCATCCGTTGGCCATGATTTTGTGTCTGAGCTCCAGGGCACTCAGTGAACTTTCGGTCCGGCGGGTTGGTGCTTGCTCTTTTGTGAGCACCGAAGGGTTACGTGACATGCAGGTGTGCCGCTGGGCTCCCCGGACTTCTCCGAATCCCCACGGCTCCTTTTCTGAGCAGTGACCTGGGGCTCTTCAGAGATGCGAATAGCACCCGTGAAACGTGGTGACAGAGTGGTAACATGCAGTTGGCCTGAAAGCTTGGGCTGAGGCAGTCTTTCAGCAGAAACACACACGTGGTGGAGAGTAAAGTCTGGTAGGAAAAGCTCCAGGACATCTGCCACGGGAGGGAAAGTACCAGGCTCTGGAGCGGCTGTGTCCCGGACTCCTGATCCAATGGCATCTGAGTTGAGCGCATGTAAAAGGATGGTACTGTGTGCTGGGGAGCGTGGTGTGCTCGTGGTTAATGACGGCCCCCAGGAGCTCTGTTTTATCACAGTAGGTTGAAGGGCTTCAAAGCAGAAAATGAAGTGATTTCTAGCCTGAGATAACTGAGTCTGTTCTTAAAATGCCATCAGATGTCTAGTTCGAATTGTCTGGAAATCACCCCCCCCATTTGGCCTTCACGGAGCGCCCCTGTATCCTGGCATCGCAGGAGCTCATTCCGTACCACATTCCCTCGTCCGGGAGGCACAGCCTGATTTCAGAGTTGGTCAGGTGTCTTTCCTCAACTTCATGTACCTACTCTCAACATCAAAACATCGGGAAGTTCTCGCCTGTTTTGAAATGTATGTGGCTCATCGGTGCCTCAGAATAAAACACTTAGCAATCAGTGTATGGAGTCCAGCAATCAGCAGGGTTAGGAGTGGATAGTACTTCATAGAAAACGTGCATAACACTTACCAGTGCCTTAACATTCCCAAGTGCTCTGCAGTGTTGCTCTGTTGGTTCTTATTTTATGAAAACTGATACAACATAGAAAAGAGCCAGGACTCTGCAGGCCTGGGTTCTACACTGCATTCCACCAGCTAACTGCCCAAGGATCCAGGCTTAATGGCAGTGTGGCGGACTCCTGATCCAATGGCATCTGTGTCCTGTGTCTTCTTCTAAAAGAAGCCAGGAGTTCAGGCTGATTCTGGGACTTTATCAAAGGTCCTACAGCTTTGAAAGTGCTGCCTTGACAGACTATGAGCAAAGGCTTTGTTTTCTTTGTACACAGCAAAGTAATAATTCTGTGGGTTTTCAACACAGTTACTTTTTAACTTTCCTAACTCTGGTATCTTGGGGTTTATTTCAGAGGTGCTTTGGAATTTCCATTATCATTTGGTTTGGCCAGTCTTTACACCTTTAAAGTTGTGGTATATATTTGGTTGACTTTCAAGGAAAAAGGCAAAACTCCATCCACAATCCGTAGCTTGCAGAAGCAATCAGAGCCCCCCTCCACACATGCAAAAGTGCTAGTGCTGGGATCCAGGATGCCCTTCATCCCTGAGGGGTCTAGGGGGGCAGAACGAAGTTCGGGCTAAGAATTCCTGTCCCTCCACTCGGGTATAACTATTGCCCAGCTTTCTTGTCTCTGTGGAAGTGGCTGAAACGGCTTCTGGAGGTCTGTATCAAAGCTGCCGTCATCCTGAGATATAGCCTGGTCATGTCTAATTAACATCTAAGGGGCTGGGGATTTAGCTCAGCGGCAAAG